ATTCGAACACGAGAACATAGGAGTATAAGACACATATACAAACCGTTCAACTAAAATAATCTGATGATATAAATGTTTATTCTACTGTCATTTAGAGTCTTGCGTAAACTTACTAAATTAGATTTTCAGTTTCCATTCTACTGAATTGAAAATTATTATTTCTTTGGTGCCCATGTCCAATAAATGTGGTCTTTTCTTGATACATTTTTTATTTAAACTCTTTCAGATTTAAATTTAGATACTCAATAGAACCGAATTTAATCGATTTAAATTATATTTAATATTTAAAAAATTAAATTTCTTATATATAAGTTTTAAAAAATTTAAAATTTAATCTTTTATTTATTTTCTTGATTTAATAGATTTTTGTAAATGTAAATCTGCCATCGTTTTCTTCAATTACATCAATAAATGAAGGGAGTTTTCTTTTGTACTCGAATCTCTTTTATTAAAAAGTCACTCTTACTTCAACAATGTACAAACTAAAATCATGTTTACTAGTATTGTACACAGTATCATTATTCATTATCAATTCGTTCGAGTATGAACTCATACTAATAATTATTCAAATTATAGATAAAGTGATAATTATTTTGTTCACAAATAACCAAAGAGAGTTGCCATACTAATTATATTAGTATCAATCTTTACTAAATCTTTTCGAAATGCTCAATATTTAAAACGATTCTTAAGTAAACCTTACGAAACATGTTTTCTTTCAATAAAAACGTGGTGAAATGAGTTTTTAAGTAAGCATAATATATTTTTGTTACACTTTGATGTTTTATATTAGTCTAACTTCGAAATAAGTCTAGATAACAGCCTAGCAGACTAAAAATTTAGAAGACTTTGATTTTAGTCTTGCCTTCATAAAATCCTTGGTCATGATTTTCACGTAAACATAGTGCAAGGAGCAAAACTTTAAGTGCTATTTCATATCATTTCCAAAGTAATTTTAAAGAATTTACTTTGGTTAACTCATGCATTGTGTTAGTGGATTTCTGCAAGATTCTGTATGCAGAACGGATATCTTTTGAATCATTCCAAGCAAAAACAATCCAACATACATTTGAAAAAGGAACGCGTTCCACCTTTCCCTCAATTTGCACCTGTGAAACGCGTCGCCTGTCGACCGAAGTGCGTTCGACAACATTTGAATTCGGAAACGCCTCGAAACGCAATCTTGAAAAAAGCGTTTCGGATCGTTTCTAAAAACGACGGTGGCAAAACGCATTTTATGTAAGTAAGAATGCTGCGAAACGCGTCCTGTATTGAAAAAACGTTGCGAAACGCATGCTACAATCTCGGAAACGCGTTACGCAGTCCGTTTCCTTCAATATTTTACTCCATGGGTAAATAATTATGTCACAATTACTCAATTGAAGATGATAGTTGTGGACTTACAATGTGGTTTTGACGAAAAACGTATTCTAACAACAATCATTTTTATTTATTGTTGATTTGTTCGGTCACTTTCTTGTAGAAACATTATTAATTAGTCTTGTCATTTAATATAGTTTATAGTTATATAAAATATACTCTTTTGTACCGAAGGTTTTGTATTAAACGAATTTCGGAGCCGAGATTGTCTCTCCCCGCCAAAACCTGAAAAAAATTTGATGTTCTGTAAAAATTTTAATTCTTTTCACTTTTGAAAAGAATTAGCAACTCTGCTCATGTTCGAGTCATGTTGTCAAGAAAACTAATTTGTGTTCTCCTATAAAAAGAAATAACTTCAGAAATAATTGATTTCAAATTGCATCTATTGAAGTAATTAGTTTTTGTGTAGTAGATTGCGTCGTATTCCGATGCACGACTTTTTTTTTTTTCACTTTTAGATCAAATTGTCAAAAAAAATGGCAATCTTTGTTTTTTAATAAGAACAATCTAGTTCATACAAAACCCTTTGTCAACCCGACTGGGGTAAAGTCATTATAATTCGATGAAAATATATATCATATACATTTGCTCTTTGCTTTAGTGATGAGAGATTTCAGAGATGTTGAGAGATGTGTGATGCTATACATAGTTTTCCTATACATTGCTAGTGGATATACCTAAAAACCTATGAGAAGATCTTCGAGACTATTATCAATAGAAAAATAAAGTTTAGTTGCTATACATGAAGGTGTGGATGTGAAGTGTGACAGGTGTGGGTGTGAATGTAGATCGATTCGTTATTCATTCACGCACCCACACGCAACACATCATTTGTCACAATGTAATCAGAAATATTTACGAGTGTTTATGTGTAGCCTAACTATTCAACATCGTTATTCAGAACTGTATGTGCATAGAAATCGGTTTATATAATTAGAAAAAATAGATCATCGCAAAATCAAGAATGAAACAAGCTTTAGTCTTTTGAATGTTACGTCTACACACAATGCATATTCGTAAGACTAGAGCCAACATTTTTGGCGGGAATTATATTTTCTATCGGATGGTTCCAGTGGCAAGTTTTAAAACCACTGTTTAGTATCTGAAAGACCCAGAAGAAACACCCAGCACTCAATAATGATCCATTTGTTTTAAGAGAATAGTGAAAAAAAAAACAAAATTATTCTTTTAAAAACTAATTCTAACTTTGCGTGTGCATTAAAAAAACCTAGCATGTACCTGTTTTTTTTTGCTAGACAGCGTTCATTTACACTTATTCATGCTGTAATGTATCCATCAATGACTTCTTCTGCATCGACATCAGAACATGATTTCAAAATTATTTCAATGAACATGTGAAGTAACATTTTAAACTAATCAAGTGTTAAATTCTAAGAAAAGGTAGCTATTATTCGGTCATAGGGAATTCATTGTCTAAAACATCCTTCACTTTATTTTGGGTTGAAAAATAACTTAAGTGTCATATATTTATAGTTTGCATATCATTTATGGAACATGTTAAATTCAAAGACAAATAAAAATTGATAAAAAGTAATTGTCAAAAAGCACAAGTTTAAATAACCTTTCTTCTTTTTCTTTTGATCGGACCATATTAATACAGTCTTAATCTCAATAGAGAACACTTACGAACTCTAAAACTTCCTAGATTTAATCAGACTATAATTAATATTGAAGAAAACTTAATACATGCATTCTTTATTCTTATCGTTTTGCATTTATTTAATTTTTAAGTCTTTTAAAATGTTTCTTTAATTTTGTCTAAAAAACAGTAATCCGAAATAGGCAGCTTGAAGTATAATGAAAAAATTATGTTGGCGTAAAAGCTCTGTTGTGCAATTCGACCCGTGAAAATCTTTTGAATCGCAAGATGTCGAGATGTGAAAATACTTTTGTCGATTTACTTCCATGAGCTAAATATTTGTACAAAATATCAGACATAAACTGTTTCTCTATCGACACTTATCAAATAAGCAGTAAAAAAAGAGAATAATTTAAAAAAAAACTCTATGTTTTTAATCTCTATAGTGACATCTTGCTTACTAATTACCTTGAATTTTCTTGTTCCATTCTTGTTTTGATGTGAACATTCTTTTTCTTCAGGTGTTTCTCTTTGTTTTTTTAAGAGAGGCCGAGACATTTTGTCAACATCACGTGAAAATGACACCTGATATGAAGCGAGTAGAGATGTTGGAAATGGATTCCGCGAATAAAAACAAATCAAACGAAAGAATGCATTTCGTTCGTATTCTTATCAGAGTGCCACATTTTTTTTACACATTTTTCTGAAATCATCATTCTTTCTCACAGAATAGAAAAAAATTTGTGTATAAATACATTCACGATGAAGCTGCATATAATAAACTGATTGTGATGCTCCTTTGACTTCTTGTTGATGTGAGGATTTTGGAACGAGACAAATCAGGTTTAGTATTAATAATTTTTTCATGCAAGTGTGAGTTATAGAGATGTTTACATTTGAAAAAATTAATTATTTAAAAAGTCACAGTAATAACCTACATTTTCTTATTCAAATGCTTTTTATTTCAGAGCGTAAAAACATACTGTTGTGTACCACATGTAGAATGTATTACGAAAACAAATATTTTATTTCAAAAAGTATATTTTAATAAAAAAAAAAAAAAACTTTTTGAGTTACAATTAATCTACGTTGTAAAGACATCTAAACATATTTATAATACATTGTATCTATTCTTATCTAATTTTATGCATTAAAAAAAAAAGTGTTTTTAAAAAAACAGTCTTCTATTATGAATTGTTTTCTTTTTTATAACAGTCAATTTGTTTACCAAACTATAAATCAATGAATATTTCGAGGCATCGATTTGAAAATTGTTTTTTCCAATCATTGATCTCATCACCTATAGAACAAGGATATTTCAAGAACCTATCTCGAAGTTCTATACCCTCGAATGATATACCTTTCATAGATTTTGATAGACCAAATTATCAGAGTTTGGATTATTCAATAACCTTTGAATGATTTGAATTCTATCGAGCAACTGAAAGTATGTTATTGATATGAGTGCATTCTTCAAGTTGTCAGAATATCAATGGGTTTGGCATGATTAGAATGAGTATAGGATGAGACAATACATTCCAAGTTTTGATACTTGAACGGAATGAAAAATATATATATAATTTCAAGATTCAACCATTCATTGTATCCATTGTTAGTTTTGTAAAGCCTTTCTGCGTTATACGATCTATATTTATCTATAGAGCAGATAATAATTTATTCTTTAAATTGGGCAATCTTTTATTTAGCATATGAATTTCAATAGTTTGAAGATGACTTAAGCAGATCATTACTTTGATATGTTCGAAACAGACTGTTTTTCTATTATCTAAATTTAAAGTTGATATCAGAAGTAAAGATTTTTTATACATAGCATGTACATCGTTATCTATTATTTTTCTATTTCACTCTAGTACTAACTAAATAGAACTCGCGCTCTCAAAAATTCATTATTTTTCGCCTAGATAATACATTGTATTTGCAAATCTTTTATTTCAGTACATCAACAATTTATCATTTAAGTAACATTGTGAAAAAAATAAAAACAAAAACAAAAAATTGAATGGCAAGGGCTATAGCCATTGATGAATTGAATCCTGATTCTCAATTGTTAAGAAATTTTGATGATGCATGGCGTGCAGATCGTGCTCTTATTCGACAACTTACTTTACAAGAAATGCAAGAAGAAGAAGATCGAATATTAGCAGCAAGACTTGCTGGTGTCACATTGGATACAATTCCTGATAATGTTCGTAGCATGGCAATGTTACTTGATGATACTGATGATGAGAACAACTATGAAGATGAACCAACAAGTACGATTAGTTTACTTCAAGTTTCCGTTTATGTTTAAGAATATTAGTTTATATTGTTAGTAGTTAGTGAGCAAATGAGTTAATATATTAGTAGAATATTTTTTTATAAGAACAAAATACATGTACTATTGTTTCTATTATAGCGGTGAGTAACCAATCAACTATTAAAAATATGACAACTACTTACAAACAACAGAAAAAGTAAGTTTTTGTTGTTAAAAAGTTAACTTTGAACCGATAACTTGTGTGATATTACTAGAAAAAAATGTGCCTTATGTATGGAAAATACCATTAAAACAGATCCTCTACTTCCATGTAATCATACATATTGTATTAGTTGTCTTCAAGAATTGTTTATGAAATCAATGCAGGATGAAACATTGATGCCACCGCGTTGCTGTCAAAAAATAATTCCAATTGATTTAGCGAAATTAACATCGACACAAATAGAAAATTTTCATGCCAAACATCTTGAATATTCCACAAAAGATCGTCTTTATTGTTCACAACCTACTTGCTCGACTTTTATTCCTCCAAAACGTATCGTTAATGGTATTGGTACATGTCCAAAGTATGTATGAGATAACACATTTAAAATTTAGTTAGAATTTATGCAAGTAAAACTTATAACTATTTTTTTATTTATTATTTGTATTCTAGATCTGGCTGTGGAATAACAACGTGTTCTATATGCAAAGCGGCTAGTCATGGTAAACTGGATTGTCCTAAGGATGAAGCAACAGCAGCTGTTCTTGCTACAGCTCGTAAAGCTGGTTGGACTCGTTGCTATCAATGTCGAACAATGGTAGAGTTGACACATGGCTGTTACCATATGACTTGTCGATGTCGTGCCGAATTTTGTTATGTGTGTTCAACACCTTGGAAAAATTGTAAATGTCCTCAATGGGATGAAGAACGTCTTTTTGTAGAAGCTCGTGTACGTACTGCAAGGTATTCGAAAGATCCATAAGCAAATATAAAACTAAGATTATAATAAAATACTATTGAAATTTTGTTTATTAGAATTCCTGCTCGTCAAATAGCACAAACCAACAATAGAATAAATTTTAATGAAGCTGTACAGCGCATGGCTAACCAATTGCGTGCTAATCATGAATGCCGACACACCAATGGATGGGCATATACACGAGGTGGTGGTAGATGCGAAGAATGTGGTAACTACTTACCACAATATCTATTCCGTTGTTACCAATGTCATTTGATGGCTTGTAATCGGTGCCGACGTAATCGATTATAATGACATCTGTACTTATTTTTCTTTTCATATTTGTCATCCACAGTTTCCAAAACTGAACACTTCAAAATTTTTTCTGTGGAAAAAATTTCAAAAAAAAAAAGTTCAATGAGATGCTTTATTGATCTATTCATGTCAAATGCCGAGGATGCATAAAGCCGTTTTGCAGTTCCAAGGATATCATGAAAAAAAACTCTTTTTTTTTACAAGTCAAAATAAAATATACTGGTGAATTTAGGAGTGTTGCTTACAAATATCATAATGGGTGTTCTCTCAACTTCTTTTTCCTTGAAATGGCCCTAATCACTCAGTGAATCCTATTTTTCATTATTGGGCATCTCATAGAATAAATATTTGTTCTAACTCAGAAAGTAGAGTTCTCTATGAATGTGAACTTCTTATGTCGAAAAAATATTACCTTTGTAAAAAGAAAAAAAAATGATTCCCGAGGAATAAATTGACTTTTAATAGACACATAGATTTTTGTCCCGATAACTTTTTATGAAGCCAGACTTGCTTCAGCATCAAATTTTGGCACATAAGAGCAATTTTAAAACTTTATTGATTAGTCGTTTAGAAAAGATAGAAAAAAGTAGAACAGAGGAGAAATTTCTAAATACTGGAACATTTAGCATTTTTGGAGTGGATTTGTGAATATTTCAGTGATCTTTAGAATGACAGTCAAGTTTTCTGAAAGAAAAACTAATATTTCAAAAAGAGATTTTCTAGATATATCAAGTGCTGATGTCAGCAGTAGATAAAATAAGATCGAAGATGAACGAGAGTAGTCAAGATCGTCAAATATTGCCACATCTGATACAAATTCTATGAGAACTTGATGATAGATTTCCGTTTGAGAACACTTATGCTAGAAGATAAAAATAAATTGATTTGTTTTATAATAGATTTAGAATAGAAAATGGCATATTACTAGTTGATTAATCTTGCAAATTGTCAGAATTCATTTTTATTCCCTAGACTGAAAGGCTAGGGTCTAGAAACCGAAATTCATCTATGTCTGTCTGTCTGTCGGTAACGCGGTCAAAATGGCCATTTTTTTGGCACATGTGACCATTTTGTTGGCACAAACGACCATTTTGTTGGCACAAGTGACCATTTTTTTGGCACAAACGGCCATTTTTTTACTAAAATTAACTAGGTAACTATGGTACAAATGAGCATGTAACTATGGCACAAACGGTCATTTTTTTGGTACAAACGACCACGTAACTATGGCACAGGTGACCATATAGCAACCATGGTACAAATGATCAAATACTAATTATGGTCAAAATGGCCGTTGTAACTATGGTACAAATGACCATTTGGTTCAAATGCCCACAGTAACTGTGGTACAATTGCCCATAGTAACAATGGTACAAATGGCTAAAAATAATAACTATGGTCAAAATCGCCATAGTGATCGTGGTAATAGTGATGATAGTAACACCATGATCAAAAAATCGACTTGGTAATTATAGTACAAATGATCATACGATAATAAAAATTTATTCTTGTTAATAATGTGATATATAAATAAACGAAATAAAATTCTTTTTTTTTGTGCAAACAGCGCCAATAAATAAATAAAAATTATAAAAATACAGTAATATTTATTATTTGAAAAATGAACAACGATATGAATGCAAACGAATCGCCGCATAAACGTAGTTTCTTCTTCGATACCCGAGAGGAACGATTAAAACAGCTGGAGATGATCTTAAGTATGTAATGTAATCTCAGAGGATAAAAATTATGAGTAAAATTTTATTAAGTCAGTAACTTTTTCGAAAAGCTATTTGATTATCCCTTTTGATCAACTTACTGATATGCTTGAAACTTGTTACAAGTTTATGAAAAAGTATCTTTGCTGGAAGCTTAAACTTGACATGAAGTTTTGTATAATTTCTGGCGAAACTTTCACGGAAGAATATATCGAAGAAAAAATGGATGTATCTTATGTTTATTTTGCAGCTGATTGGAAATGCATCCATTAGAGTGAGAATTCTCCAAATTAAGTTTTCTGGTCGCCTAAGATATACTGGTCATATTATCAATTTTTGCCTATTACTTTTTTAATGTAGCTTTTTATGCTGTTACATACGTACATGCATTCTATCAGTCTAGGGCTAAGTGAATCGCTTGACGATGAACGTTACTTGTCTGTTATCTGATCATGATAACAAGGAAAAAGAACAAAAAGTTAAATTGTACATGTTGGTGACAAGTATGAAAATATCGTAGTAGTTGTCTTTCAATTTCAGTTAGTCGGCTTCAGGGTTGCCAAACCTCCTGATTTGACCAGGAGTCTCCTGATTTTCAAACTTTTCTCCTGATAAAAATTCTCCTGAATTCAGGAACTGATTTTGAGGATTTTCTCCTGATTTCTACTGATTTTCAATTTTTTGTTGGCTTTGGTTTTAACGACATTTTGAATCAGTAAAAAATGGGTAGAAGAGAAAGAGCACTGTTAAACGTAGAGGTGATCATTTCCTAGCTTATCTTCATGGTAGTGAAAATATGCCTAATGCATAAAGATTAGCCCCGTTATCTTTTTGTTGTATCTGTCTCCAATGTTTGTTGAGAGTGAATTTTCATTCATCTGAAATGTTTATAAAATGATAATAGAAATCGAACCATAAATCATTCTGTTGATGCAGAATTGAGAATTAGAATGAATAGTCATTCCGATTGTACAACGTTTCGTAATTATTTTTGAAACAATCAAGAATTGTCAACGCAAAGTTTTCTCGGCAGAAAAATGTAGGCATGTTGCAAAAGTCATGCCGACAGAATCGTAAACATTTTATATGCCATATTCGATTTATTTTGCTTTTTGGTTCTTGTCATATGCTTATAAAATATTTGCGTCTACTTTCTTTATGTCGGTAAATGTACAGATGTAAAAATACCAGTAGAATAAAGCACACATAAGTATAGAAATGTCTCAAAATCTTGAAAAAATCTCAAAAAAAAAAGAAAGGACAACTCTCGAATATCAGAATTGTCGAAAGGAACATCTTAAAAGAATAAATATCGAACGTTCTTCGATGATCATTCTAAAATAGCAGGCAGAACACACTGGCATCTCACCAACATTTTGTCAAAAAAGAGGAAAAAAAGGTCCAGCATCCTTGAAAAAAGTCGATTTTTAATAAAAACGAAGAGAAAAATAGGCATACTGTTTTCGTCGGAAGAAAACTAAAACACACTGACACAATAGTACTATAAATCCGACAATACCTGCATGTTTTCAGTATAGGTTGAATATGACTTGAAAGAGTAAAAAAGGAATAAAGCTTCTAATTATCCATAGAGATTATTGTGCGACTGCTTATGTATGCATTAGAAAACGATAAACATTAGAAAAAAGTCAATTCTATTTACGTAGTATCTGACAATGATATTACTCTGTCTGAGTAAGTAGGCACACAGAAATAGAAACGATCAGAATTCATTAGATATCGTTTTGGCTTTTTGTTCCCTTTTTCGGACGGCTGCGCATGTGAAAACGGTATTTTTTCATTTTTTTTCAAATTTCAGCAGTTCTTCCGTGATTTTGATCATTTTTCGCAATTCAGTTTCATTTTTTTCATTTCCCAGCGTAAATTAATACGTTGGTTGCAAGGACACCCTACAGCGGGTTTGTGAGAAATTGTTTGATCCTGTGCTATCGAAAACGCTTGATTTTTACAGCGGAAAATGTTCATCTCCTTGCGTTCTGTAGAAAACGACATATATGTATTGGGTAGATTGTACGATCTCCTGCTTTTTTATTATCAGGACGCATCTGTTTGTTGCTTTCTCATTCCATCATATCCGATTTCTTCCAAGTATCATCAAGCCGTGGTCAATATTTACCTATGTCAAACAGACACGCACGTAATCGGAGAGATACTGCGTTTCACATGGCTCAGTATTGCGATCGTATAATTCCTTGATCTTATGCGCAGAAATACGATCGTTTATGGACAAGCAAAGCTCGTCTACAGTTTTCGTTTTCTGCATTTCTTCGTATACTATTATATTTCTCTGTGTACCATTTGAAGACATACGATCGTCCAAATTGTGATCGTATACAGACAAACACAGGAAGAGTGAAGTTGCTTCATTTTGACAGTAAATCAATCGCATAAAGTAAGCTAGCAGCATGTCACAGGAGCTGTAATCAATCCAGCAATTTTGAAGGATCAAATATTGCCGGACACAACATAAAATATTTTATCGGTATTTAATACAGAGAAATCTTCAACTTATGACATCATGCTGTCGGTGGCTATCTTGCCGAAGAAATCCTATCGGATCTGACAGGATTTTAGGGTATATTTAGCCAACCTGGAAACTTCTTCTCTCTTTGACGCATGCCTTACGCTACGAGTTAGCCATTCCTTGTTAGATTCACATCATAAGCTTCCATAGGGTCGAGAAAAACGGCCAAGAAAAGTGAATGCGAGATTATGGTTTTACATGTCAATCTAAACTAGAAAACTTGCCAGAGCCGTGAGAGAATGACAAGTTCACATCTGAAATATAATTGAGTGACTTTACCTTCGCTATAGAGCTACTAGAATCGAGTCCCAATTAGAGGTATATAACATCGTTGAAGGTGATCATTATAAAATCATATATTTTAGCCTCAATTATACAACTCGACTGACAAGCATATCAGTTTATGTTATGATATCTTTTTGTATGATATAGTAACATTAATCAACAAATTCATGCATATTTTCACCAACAACCTACTTTTTTGTGAGAAAAGAGAACACAAAAGAGGATTTTTCTGAAAAAAAGAGACTAAATGGAAGAATTTTAAAAGAAAAGAGGAAAAAGAGGTGGAGTGGGATGTCAGAACACAGGAAAATCTCACTTCATTCGTGCTCGTCCGATTTCAATAGGTTTCCAGCACGTCGCCCGGTAGTAGATCTGGTCGAAATTTTACCTAGCAATCTCCAGAGTGATCCAATCGGGACTGGTTAAGAAATCAGCGATTTTCTAGAGAG